CACACACACACACACACACACACACACACACACACACACACACACACACACACACACAGTGGAAAACACAGCCTACTGAAGTTTGTTCAAGTTGTACAGCTGTAGATCTGCATGTTGCTTCAACATGAATAAAGTCTCTGATCTGTCACTGTCATTTAAATTTTTCTTTGTCATAGTTTTTCAAAACCACAACTTCAAAACATGCATGTGTATGAGGAAGGTGTTGCAGTTCATAAAAAAAAAACTATAAAGACAGAGAAGAACAAGATGAAACGTCTCCTGTGTTTTCTCTTTTTCTACAGAGAGCTGATGGAACCTGTAACACCAACTTTAAGAAGACAAAGCACAGAGAGCAGGTGATGCAGGCCCTGAGGGACTTTGTCGACGGCAACACTCAGATTCTGGTGAGTTACAAGTTCACTGCCAGGTTTTGGAAATGCACAAATTGAATTTAATTCAAAGAGTTAATTTCCCCTGGAATGGCTCTGCAATATATTTGAATGTTCATATAAACCAAACTGGGATTAATTGTTTAGTTTTAATGTTTTAATTTGAGCTAATTTCATTTTAACATTCATACACCAATAAGGGAAAAAAATTAACTCATAATGGAAATGTTCTCACTGTCTCATACCCTACATCTCTTTATGATTCTTTTTCTTAGAAACTCTACCTGCAGCGGCTGGAGGAGCTCCGCTCAGTCCTCGAGCAGTCACACTTCTTCAGGACTCACGAGGTGAGACACACTGACACACAACTCGGTTTCCATGATTCATGAACAAACCTGCTGACTGACTTTGAAGATCTGCTATTTCATCTTGACATTAGCTCCTGTGTGTAATCGCTCACACGCCTCAAGCGTCACCAGTCTCACCGGTTTCTCTCCATTGCAGGTCGTCGGCAGCTCTCTGCTGTTTGTGCACGATGCCTCTGGGAAGGCCCGGGTGTGGATGATCGACTTCGGGAAGACGGTCCCCCTGCCAGACCCCCAGACTCTCGACCACAGGACCCCCTGGGTGGAGGGCAACAGGGAGGATGGCTACCTGTGGGGACTGGACAACCTCATAGACATTTTCAGCAGCATGCTTCCTCAGATGCCTTGAGAGGGAGAAGCAGGAGACTGGAGTAAAACATTGATCCGAATCCAAAAGGTGGAAGAGATGCATGATCAGGGGAATCTCAAAAACTGACAGTGGAAAGATTAGAAGAGTATTTCAACCCCCTATTTGATCGGAGTGTTTTTATCCACATGGACCTGTTAAAGAAGAGGAGGTCGAACAAGGACAGGATTTCTATTGCAGAGTGGAACATGCTAAACGCCAATCTCACGCAACAAGCTCCATCTGTGGAGGAGGAGGGAGGAGAATTCAACGCAGACTTGTAACAAGTGTCACTGGAACTGTGAGAATACAGAATTCATGGACCTGACACTTCCTGCAAAGACACACTCAACATTACTCATCTCCCACCTCAGCAGCCCCCCCTGCTGGTTGGAATTGCACAGAGTGCTCAGTTTGATCCTTTTTTTTGGTAACGGGGAGCTTTATTATTGTCATGGACCACTTTTGTTGTTTAAACACTAAAAACACTGGTCAGACCACGTGTTAACTAACTTGGCGTGTAAATACAACTTTATTTAAACTTTTTTTGGTCTTGGTATAACCTCTTAACCTTGTACGATTTCTGTGCCTGGCATTTTGTAAAGTACGAGCTGTTTGATCATTCCAGTGCAGTAGCTCCTGCTGTTTTTCTTCCAAAGAGTTCACCCCAAGTATAAACTGATTTACATTTAATCACAACGTTTAACTTCTAGTAGAAACTCATATTTTCTTATTTGGATTTTTGAGTGATTATGCAGTGAAAGGTGTTTTTTCTCCAACTGTACAATAATCAGCTTGACAGCCACATTTGTTGGTAATTTGTTGCACTATGGATCCTCACAAAGCCATTGAACAAATGGAGCAGTGCCTCTGTGCGTCTTAAAGTGGGAAGCATCAGTCAAGTACTGGGTTTACAGTAGTTTAACGCACATTTAATCTTTCACCCCTCGATTCTCTCTGATCAGTGTTGCTGTAGATTTTTTACCGAAAAGTCAAGTGATGGCGTTGAGGGTTGAAATGAAACTGGAATTACCTGATTAAACTGATCAGATGTTTCATGAGATTTCACTTATGTGGCGACTTCCACATGATCATGAAACAGGGAAATTTGAAAGTGTCTTATGATACAAAGAACAACGTATTATTATCAGTTTTAAACACAAGGATGTTGTAAACCAGTTTGCTAAACACAGGAGGCTTGTGGGTTTGAATTTGAGTATGCAAGAGTTTACGACATTTGTTATGGTTGGATATTAAGGCAGTGCTTACCGTCTTATTGTTCCTTGACTGGAATGCAGCAGGTCGGTGAACATAACAGTCTTCAGTCTTCCAGATAACTTTCGACTGTGTCAGGCTGCACTGCGAGTGTGTGTGTGTGTGTGTGTGTGTGTGTGTGTGTGTGTGTG